CTTCAATAAGAGCTTTCGTGAGATTTAGCTCGTCCTTGTACTTGCTTTCGAACTCCTTAGCCTTGAGACACATATTCTCATGCTTTGTTGTGATCGCTTGTTTTTCTTTCCTAAGAGTTTTCGTGAGAATTAGCTCGCCCTCGTACTTGCTCTCGAAGCTCTCAGCCTTGAGACACATATTCTCATGCTTTGTTGTGATTTCATGGACTAATTTGAGAGCATTGTCCCTCTCTTCTTGCATCGCATACACATCTCTCTTGTAAACTAGTTCATGTTCACACTTTACTCTCTCTAACTTTTCCCGTTCTATAGCACGAACATATTCTATTTCTTTCCAAAGAACATATCCTATTTCTTCCCAAAGACGACGCAACTTCTCTTGGTGCATTTTCTCCAAGGCTTTAGCTTGTAAATGCGATTTATCTTGCTCGTAACACTCAAGTAGTAACTTTTCTAAGTTTTCTTTTTCTCTAGCAAATGCTTCTTCAAGCTCGATTTCGTCATTGTTTTTGCTCTCCATTTATGCAGCCTATAAATCAAAGTTAGGGTTTAGAGAGAGATGTACTCATACCAAACGATTATGCTTTTCAACCAAAAGATTCATTCATTAGCTGATCTCTAAGAGTGCAACAAAATGCTTAAATAGTAGATCTCTATAAGAGTGCAAAAAACCAAGGCAAATGAAACCTGATTGATGCTTTTGCGGAGTTGTTTCCGAGACGATCCTTATCTTAAAAACTCGAGCCAGATCCCGCAAGAAGAGTCTTCTGGAATGTAGAGAGATCCAAAGATTGAAAGAGTCTTTGTTGAATGTGTAAGTTACAATGCTCGATGATGATGATTATAATCACAATTTTGAGAGTATCTTAACTAAAAGATATACTGAAATAAATCAATATAATTTAGAAGATTTTACCATATATATTATTTCCATTATTCAGAGTTTCATAATCACAATTTTGAGAATATCTAAACTAAGAGATATACTGACAAATCTTATTCGTTATATATTAATTGGGGAGTGATTTGTGAAAATATGATTATTGTCATCTCCACAACCACTCTTGCTAAAACAATTGTGATATGGCTTAACAAAATTATAACATAGCAATTTTGAATCAATACAAAACTCTTTTACAACTAAATTTATATTTGTTATCATAAATAAATCAAAAGAGGTTTTTATCAATATATTATCATAGTTTCGTTATTCTAAAATTATATACAAATTTGGTTTCTCATTTAAAAATAGTTTAGAAATTGACTATTGTAATATAAAATATAGAAATTTTTATAGAATATATATTTTTTTTTTGAAAATAGTAATAAGGGCTTACGAAGTTTTTAAAAGAGATTTTGATATGTTTGTGAAAAAATTTTCCAAGTTAATAACAACAAGTATAATTATTTTTTTAATTTATTTTTTAACGCAAGACAATTTGAAAGTAATGTTTTAATTTGAAAGCAACATTTTTTTTTAATATCTGTTTCATTTATATAATTTGTGGTTATATATTTTAATGTTTTAAATTTTTAACTAATTTAGGTGTATTCTAAATTCTATTTAAGATATTCGGACAATCCAAATTTAACATGTTTTTTTACTCCAATGTATTAGATTATTATATATTTTGATTTAACACATTTACTAATA